GGCTAGCTTCAATTGACATTCTTAAGACAGTTATAGTTTTTCTTTCGCAGTTTGAACTAAAATATTTTGAATATAACGTCAGTTTTTTAAAAAAATTGTATTTAACGCGATTCTATTAATAAAATCAGTTTTTTAGATCATAAAATAACTTATGTGAGAAAATATTAATTTGTAGACTAAATGTAATATCTTTTTTTTAATTTTGTACTTTTATACCTCGTTACTTTGAAAAAAAAGGTGCATACCCAAGTATAAAAGATAATTTTTTCATGTTACGATGATATTTTTAAAAAACATGTTACCGAAACACGTTTTGATGAATAAAATATAATTTTTTTTAATATAAAAAAAAATAAAAAAGTATCCTCCCCGGCGGGGAATCGAACCCCGGTCTCCCGCGTGACAGGCGGGGATACTGATCACTATACTACCGAGGACTTATACAAGAATTTGCTTTATACTGTTATTAAAAGAACAAACTTTTAAAAATTTACAATTTAAAATTCTAAAATAAACTATTTCTAATACTAACTGGTGTTTTCAAGCCTTCATTTTGACGACGTAGGTGTAAATTAAACTCGTTAATTGATTTAATTGGCTTTTTTTAAATTATTTTGACTGTTTACCTACCTACGTGTTATCAGAATCATTGAAAAATTTCGTTTAATTTTTTTTTAATTAACTTCATATATGAAAAAAATACACATTTTTTACCCACCTACTCCCACACCAGAGTATGTTGTTACCAGTAAATTAATTTGGAAAAAAGTGTTAAATGATTTAACATATGTCAGATTGGTAAGAAGTGAGGTTAAAACCGCTTGACAGTTGTCAGATGTAACATAAAATGTCAAATGTCAAATGTTTCTAAAAAATGCATTTACTATTTTAATGTTTTTATTTACATTCTAAAATGCTATTTTAACAGTCTAAAAGGTGTTTTTGACAATCATTCTTAAGTATGATTTTGAGAATAATCTAAATAAAAACGTTTCTTCAAAATATGTTTACCCACCCCAAGAGTTGATTGAACTCTCCAATTAAAACAACTAACCACCACATGGAGGCACACGGTGACGTAAAGAAAAAAACAACGAAACTGCGCACAAAACATACGCTTACGCGTGATTGGTCGCGAATCATAAATCGATGACGTAACGATGCACCGCAGACTCCGATCCAGACGGCCCTGTTCCCCTACATTTTCGGGACCGCTGAGTGAGCGCACGCTAGCACAGCCAAATGAGCTCCAAGCGGCGTTGCCATGTCCAGCGCAATTAAGCAGACTTCGTGAATTTTTAGATTTCGGTTTTATAGAATTTTTGCAATTTTTTTGACGTTCTAAAATAAACTTTTGACATTCTGACATTTTATGACTTGGCATTTCAAAATTTGTTTTTGACTTGACTTTCTAAATAATGATTGTGGCATTTTCAATATTTTGACATTCTTAATGCTATGTTTTTAACATTCTAAAATGTCTTTGTAACATTTGGGCTTTTGGCATTTTAAAATATGAATTTAAAATTATTAAGTGAATTTGAAACTCTTAAATATGATTTTGAAAATCTTAAATATGATTTTAACAATATTAAATATGATTTTGACATTCCAAATATTCTTTCTGTTTTTTGCATTATAAAATGTTCTAAAATATGATTTTCACGTTTAAAATTTTACTGAAAAAAGTTATGGTATTGACATTCTTAAATATGATTTTAATATTCTTAAATATTATTTTGACATTCTAAAATATGCCTTGACCTTTAATATTCTTATAATTTTGGAATTATAAAATGTGTTGAAATTCTATTATGTCTTGACATTTTAAAAAAGGTTGAAATTCTTAAATATGATTTTGACATTTCAAAATATTTTTTGACAAATTTTAATTTTTATATTTTCTGCATTATTAAATGATTTTGACATTCTTAAAATACTTTTAAAAAACTCCATGTTTTGGTATTGACATTCTTAAATATGATTTTGACATTTTAAAATATGCTTTAATATTCTTATAATTCTGAAATTATAAAATGTGTTGTAATTCTAGTATGTCTTGACATTTTAAAAAAGGTTTGAAACTCTTAAATATGATTTTAACATTTTTATGTTTTTTGCATTATAAAACGTTCTAAAATATAATTTTAACATTCTTAAAATTTCATTAAAAAAAATTCAAGTTATGGTATTGACATTTTTAAATATGATTTTGACATTCTCAAATACACTTGGACCTTTTAATAATTTTAACATTTTTATGTATTTTGCATTACAAAATGTTCTTTTGACATTCTTAAATGCTTTAAAAAAAACTACAATTTATGGTATTGACATTCTTAAATATGATTTTGACATTTTAAATTATCCTTGACCTTTAATATTTTTATAATTTTGGAATTACAACATGTGTTGAAATTCTAGTATGCCTTGATATTTTAAAGAAAGTTTGAAATTCTTAAATATGACTTTAACATTCTTAATAAGTAATGAATTTGACATTTCAAAATATTCTAAATTATGATTTTGACATTCTTAAAATGCTTAAAAAAACTACAAATTATGGTATTGATATTCTTAAATATAATTTTGACAATCTAAAATATGCCTTGACCTTTAATATTCTTATAATTTTGAAATTATAAAATGTGTTGAAATTCTAGTATGTCTTGAAATTTTAAAGAAAGTTTGAAATTCTTAAATATGATTTTAACATTCTTAATAAGTAATGAATTTGACATTTCAAAATATTCTTTGACGAATTTTAACATTTTTATGTGTTTTGCATTACAAAATGTTCTAAATTATGATTTTGACATTCAGGCCCGTTCCTGGGGTGTCTGGCGCTTGCGTGCAGCATTCGTTGGTGCGCCCCTTATATTTAAATATAATACATTAAATATTTGAATTTTAAGCCGTAAAATTTAAAAAATATATATTTTGCGACAAACTGGCAATATGTAATTGAAAATGTAAAAAAACCGCTTAAATTAAGTATTAAAAATATTTATTACCAAACAAACAAGTAATATCATAAGGGCATCTATTTTATCGAAAAAAATCGAAAAAACACGTTGCTAAGTAATATTTTAACAAGAAGCATGAGTGTTGGTGGCAACAAAAATCCGAGTCGAAGACGAGGATTTTTGCACCTGAACGAAGGCATTTTGATAAAAAATATTACTTAGCATTGTTTTTTTTTCATAGGAAAAGTTAGATGCCCGAATGGTATTTGACAAGACTATTTCATGAGTAACAGTTAACAATTAAAATATAAATTGCAATTTTTTGTGACAACAGCTGTCAAGTTTTGCCGCGGGTAAACTCGAAAAAAACTGCTGACAGGTGCTGTCATACAGTTTTTCCACCTAGAAACCATTTGTAGTTCAAAATTGCGCGTTTGTGATTGGTGAAAATTAAGACGAGAGGGAATAGTCAGTGTTAAAAATATTCTAAAGAAAACAAAAAAAAAACAATCTAAACAATAAAATAACTTCAACTGGTTTTTAGTGACGTACTCTCTAAAAATGACTAGTTTAAAGTAAAAAAGCAGTCACTAATAACTTTAGTCCACAGCAATTTGTATCCCGGGCATTTAACAGCTTATTATTATGTAAAATTGTCCCCTGAATCCGAAAATACCGTCAAAAATTATAAAAGTAAAGCAGTTTTTAAGATATAGTCAATACCATATTATATGGAAAATTTACTAAATCTCAAAAACGTTCTACTTTTATAACTTTTGATGATATTTTCGGATTCACCGGACAATTTTACATAGAAGTTGACTGCTAAATATCCGGGATACAAATTACTATTGACAATAATTATTAGTCGCTGCTTTTGCGCTATTGCAATTAGACTAATTGAATTACTCATTTTTGACTAATTCTATTTTAGAGAGTTACTACTGTTAAACTTTGCTACCGTCAACTGCAACTATCAAACAAATACTAAAGATAATATGACCATTTCTCTCCTTTTATTTTGATCCTCATATTAAAACAAAATAAGCAGCCAACATCAAAGCGGCAAAAGGCGCTTTATAGTGACCGAAAAAAAGAGCGGCCGACGCAAAAAAGGCAGAAATCTATATCCAATGTATGTTTAAGTATCATATGAAAGAAAGTTTATCGTTACAAAGTACTGATTGACTCTTTGATTTTGCGCCCCCGAAATGTTGCGCCTGCGTGCGTGCACGCACTGCACGCTCGCCAGGAACGGGCCTGTTGACATTCTTTAAAAAAACTACAAATTATGGTATTGACATTCTTAAATATAATTTTGACAATCTAAAATATGCCTTGACCTTTAATATTCTTATAATTTTGAAATTATAAAATGTGTTGAAATTCTAGTATGTCTTGACATTTTAAAGAAAGTTTGAAATTCTTAAATATGATTTTAACATTTTTAATAATGATTTTGACATTTCAAAATATTCTTGGACGAAATTCTTAAATATGATTTTGATATTTTAAAATATGATTTTTAACATTCCAATATTATTTGACTTTTATGGTTTTCGCGGTAATAAATTTTGGAATATGATTTTGACGTTCTTAAAAATGGTTTTGACATTCATAAGAATGTCATTTACGGTTTTAAATATTGACATTCTTAAGTAGGTTTTATATTCTCAATTGTGTATTTTAAAATGTTTTTACATTCTTATTATTTTGGCATTCTAAAATGTTGTTTTTGACATTCTTGAATACGATTTAGAGATTTATCTTTATTATCATTATTATTATAAAAGTAAATGATGTATGGATATTTAGCAATATTTTAATAATTTTAAATAAATTAATTAAAATGGCAACACCGCACTCAACCCCTAGGCGAAACAGACAGCATATTATTCCTCGAATTTGGAGTTCTCCGTAAACCCCACCACGGTCCGACATAACACGACACGTTTGTATATTCTTAGAACCATCTTCCTCTCTCTCTGCCGCACGGCAACACCGCCTCCGCTCTCTTCGTCTAGTAAGCGTCAAGCGAACCTCAGTTCAATTGTTTCGTCACTCGGCTTTGAAGCGTTGCAGAGAGAACAACTACTGCAGATCAAGTCGCCTGTGCATTTGATTTGATATTTATAACCTTAAAATTGGTGTTGAGTGTTTCGTATCGTGATTTATGTGTTGTGGATTTATTCTATATTGGATTAAGTGCAATATGTTGAGTTATATCAACTGGAGGAGAAAATAATAGGTAAGAGCGCCGACCTATTTAGGAATTAAACTATAAATTTATTGTACAGCAACTCAGTTAACATGGAGTATTATTTTTATTATCCACAGGAAGCTATGAAGCAATTTCATGGATATTGTGATAAATTAAGGTTATTTATAATTGCTACAAGGCGTTTGACCTTAAGTTGTTCTTATAATTATAATTCTTACGATTTTATTTTGAAATATGTAATTGGTTGAATAAAAGATACCAAGAATACTGATAATGACTTCTAACTAAATTCACTATTCATGGTCATGCACATTTCACGTTATTTCTATGAAAATTTACCACATATTTTGTTTTATGCGGCTCTAAAACGTTTTGGGAATGCGTTTCCTAGAAACTTTGGTTTTCAGACAGTGTTTTGTTTCTAAAACGGAACGTCAAAATTACTAGACAATTGGTTTTATTTAACACAATGAAGGAAATTTTGGTTATTAGTACGTGTGGATGTAGTTTTTTTGCGTTTGCGGAACAAAAGATGCTTTCCAAGAAGTACCATGGTCAACTGGCGTACCGATTCTTGGTAAATTTGATTCTGCGTGGTATATATGTATGTAAAATTAAAAATGTCGATTTAGTTGTATCGAGTTCATCGACTTGTAGTTTCCTTTTTAGTTTAGTGTCGAAATTGAAGCGGAAGTTGCCGTTTAGAATTACAAAATCGTTTCTTAGGAACCCATTTAAACAAAAACAGTTGCGTGTCGATTAACGTTTCGTAATTTAAATAAGTATCGATTATTTCTTATTTTATTTATATCAGCAGAATGCGTAAATAATGAATGTCTAGCCTTAAATATTTGGCACGGCATGCAGTCAAAATAATGTCGCGGTTATTTTTAAGTTGGAATATTTTTTACGTGAATTTCTTGGAATTTCCTCGAACGATATTTCGCAAAACTTTTGATTCCTAGTAGTCATTTCTCGTTTTTACCTGCCTGTTTCAAAAATTTCGTCTTCCCAGTATAGCAGGTGCACTGCTCTTTCTTTCTACGGTACCAACAAAGACGCATAGTACCGCCATCTTACTCTTCTCGGAAGGTTTGTTATATGGCGAATTCGCGGAAAAGTCGTACCAAGAGATCTGCCACACTACCACCTTTATAAACCGAAAAACTACCTCTTTTGACAGAAACGTCATTGTCATAGCCTACGCCGAATAAATATTTGATAAATCGAAAAATACCCGGAACTAATATTAATTTTTTTGTTTCCGAGAAATTACCCAATAAATTAATGGCATAATTGTTACCTCTCATTTTAATATATTCTTGTTATAAGTCCAGGTAAACACAACTCGAAGAAAGTCACATTACATCACTCTTATAATTAAGTTTTAAAAAGTTATAAAAATTAGTCAAGGCCGGTGCATTTTCAGTATATAATAATACAAGGATACTAAAAACGTTATGTTGGTCTTTAACTTGAGGTTTCTCAGTTTTATGGTTTCTAAGATAAAGCGTTTTTATGTATTTACTTGGAAATATTCGAAAGAAAATTTGCAATATCAAACGACTTTGTTAAAATATCAATCCCTCTGTGGAATCAGAGCCTGAAAATTTATATTACTTTTCTAAAAATAGCGAATATGCATTTTAACGTCAAAAATAGTTTTCAAGTGAAAACTATTTTTGAATGAATTTCCAACATTTTGAAACTTGTTTTTGACTTTCTGAAATATGCTTTGTAAATTTATATAACTCTTCTACCAATAGCAAATATACATTTTAGGGTAAATAATAGTTTTCAAATGATAAAATTTTCATTCTTAAATGAGTTTTCAACATTCTGAAACCTGTTTTTGACATTCTGGTAAATTCATATAACTTTTGTAGCAATATATTCATTTCAGCGTCAAAAATTGTTATTCTAGTAAAAAAATTTAGGTATCAATCTTAGATGAGATTTCAACATTCTGAACCCTGTTTTTGACATTCTTCAGAATGTTTTGTAAATTTATATAACTCTTCTACCAATAGCAAATATACATTTGTTTCAATAATAGTTTTCAAATGACAACATTTTTAATTCTTAAATGAGTTTTTAACATTCTGTAACCTGTTTTTGACATTCTTTAGAATGCTTTGTAAATTTATATAACTTTTCTACCAATATATTCATTTCAGCGTCAAAAATTGATATAGTTTTCAAATAAAATATTTTTCATTCTTAAATGAGTTTTGAACATTCTGAAACCTGTTTTCGACATTCTTCAGAATGTTCTGTAAATTTATATAATTCTTCCACCAATAGCAAATACATTTTGGCGTCAATAATAGTTTTCAATTAAAATTTTTTTTTTATTCTTAAATGAGTTTTCAATATTCTGAAACATTCTTTAGAATGCTTCGTAAATTTATATAACTTTTCTTTCATTTCAGGGTCAAAAATTGTTATTCTAATGAAAAAATTTAGGTATCAATCTTAAATGAGTTTTTAACATTCTGAATCCTGTTTGTGACATTATTCAGAATGCTTTGTAAATTTACATAACTCTTCTACCAAATGAATTTTTTTACTCTTAAATGAGTTTTCAATATTCTGAAAACTGTTTTTGACATTCTTTAGAATGCGTTGTAAATTTCTATAACTTTTCTACCAATATATTTATTTCAGCGTCAAAAATTGTTATTCTAGTGAAAAAATTTAGGTATCAATCTTAAATGAGTTTTTAACATTCTGAAACCCGTTCTTGATATTCTTCAGAATGTTTTGTAAATTTATATAATTCTTCTACCAATAGCAAATATATATTTTAGAGTCAATAATAGTTTTCAAATGAACTTTTTTTTACTCTTAAATGAGTTTTCAACATTTTGAAACCTGTTTTTGACATTCTTTAGAATGCTGTGTAAATTTCTATAACTTTTCTACCAGTATATTCATTTCAGCGTCAAAAATTGTTACAGTCTTCAAATGAAAATATTTTTCATTCTTAAAGGAGTTTTCAACATTCTGAAACCTGTTTTGACATTCTTCAGAATGCTTTGTAAATTTACGTAACTCTTCTACCAATGGCGAATATGCATTTTAGCGTCAATAATAGTTTTTAAATGAATTTTTTTTACTCTTAAATGAACTTTCAACATTCTGAAACCTGTTTTGACATTCTTCAGAATGCTTTGTGAATTTATATAACTTTTCTACCAGTATATTCATTTCAGCGTCAAAAATTGTTAGTCTTCAAATGAAAATATTTTTCATTCTTAAATGAGTTTTCAACATTCTGAAACCTGTTTTGACATTCTTCAGAATGCTTAATAAATTTACATAACTCTTCTACCAATAGCAAATATTCATTTTAGCGTCAATAATAGTTTTCAAATGAATTTTTTTTACTCTTAAATAAGTTTTCAACATTCGGAAACCTGTTTTGACATTTTTCAGAATGCTTTGTAAATTTACATAACTCTTTTACCAATAGCAAATATGCATTTTAGCGTCAATAATAGTTTTCAAATGAATTTTTTTTACTCTTAAATGAGTTTTCAACATTCGGAAACCTGTTTTTGACATTCTTTAGAATGCTGTGTAAATTTATATAACTTTTCTACCAGTATATTCACTTCAGCGTCAAAAATTGTTATAGTTTTCAAATGAAAATATTTTTCATTCTTAAATGAGTTTTCAACATTCTGAAACCTGTTTTGACATTCTTCAGAATGCTTTGTAAATTTATATAACTCTTTTTAGCGTCCATGGAAAAATGTTTTATTCTTAAATAAAAACAACTTTCTGAAACTTGTTTTTGACGTTCTGGAATAGTCTTTGTAAAGTTTTGAGAATGTTATTAGTCATTTTAGCATGGTAAAAGCACAATAGAAGACTTAATAACTAAATTTATTTTCCTCTTGTTGCAGACTGATTTGGAAAGCTGGGTATGGCATTGTCGTGCAATGTTAGGCTGTAGTACGGTATGTCCCAATTGCCAGCACGAGTTCCCCTGTTGCCCAGCGCAACAAGAGCCGCAATGCTGCGCCAACCGAACCAACCCCATGTTCGCGCAGCTGGGCGCGCTCGCGCAGCACCCCGCCTTCGCGCAGCTTCAAGCGCAGCTGCAAGCGCAGCAGATATCGAACATGATGCGCACGCCGCTGCCCAGCCTGCTGGCGGCGCAGCAGAGGAGCAACCTCAGCTTCAACATGAACCTGAACCTGCCGTTGAGCTTGCCCGGGAGCGGCTGCGCCTCCCCGCAAGTCTCCCCGAGTGCGCCGCTGAGTTTCATCATCCCTTCGATCGCCGGCGCCCCCTTGCAGCTAACGAAGCCGCCCGTGATCGTGAAACCGGAAATAGAGCTGCAACGACTAAGCATCATAGTGGAGGAGCTGCGGCTTTCCGGGTTCTACTACGAAGGCATCTCCTTCGAGCAAGCTAATGCTTTGTTGAAGGACAGCGAAGTGGGGACTTTCTTGGTGCGCAACAGTTCGGACCCGCGTTTTCTCTTTTCCTTGAGTGTGCAGACTGATAAGGGACCGACTTCGGTGCGTTTGTACTACATCAACGGGTACTTTAGACTGGACGCTCAGCAACATCTGCAGGCTGTGATGCCGATGTTCCCGAGCGTAGTCGAGTTGGTGCAGCACTACGTCGCTCAAAGTAAAGTGAGCAATAACGCGCAGGTGTGGGTGGACCCGGAAGGCAAATGGTACTCCAGCATAATCCTGGAGAAGCCTCTCATTCACAAAGCTGAACCTTGTTCCTTGAAGCACCTGGCCAGAGTGGCGGTGCATAAAGCTCTAAAAAAATCGATAAAACCAAAATTAACGATTCTACCCGAGCCCCACAATCAATTGGATCTGCCCAGCAGCCTCAAGAAGTACCTATCCGAGTACCCGTACTTCTTATAACGCGTGCGGCACTAATATCAGTACCATATACATACTGATGGACACCATTCAAGTATTCTAAATGAATTAGGTTAATTCGCGCTCTGACGTCGTCCCAAACTGCCTGTCATCATTTACCAGTTAAAATTATTTGGATCGGCATCATTCTATAGAAAATGATTTTTCATTGGTTATTTTAAATACATTCCATGTTTCCGAATTCTGTCTATTAGAAGATATGGGGTTTTCCGTTGAAAATTTGACATTCTTTGGGTTACCACCTTAGGAAGAAACAATACCACCAACTATCGCTGATCCGAATATTCGAAGATTTGAGTTTTCATCATCATAGGAAGAAACAATGAACCAATCAGACCGCGAAATCATTTTCTATAGAAGCGCCCCCTATTGTTAATAATAATAATAATCTTTGGGCCACATTGGTCCATGTAAATAGTGCTTAATACTACGTTGTTTTATTTTTTATACTGATATTTATTGTAATATAACTATGAGCACCTTCATTTATTTATTGACCGTTCATCCGCATTTATTATAGGTAATATAATCTCAAACCTATGTATGTAATTTTTATTATTTATTCTATGTACTAGTTTTATGCTACCTACTACTCATTTAAATAGTTTTTTAAATGCAAAATCTAGTCTGATGTTTTTTTTTATAATTTGATTTAATTGTAAATACTAACGTTGAGATTAACAGACTAAGTATTTGTAAATAAGTGGATGTATTTATTTTTTTAAGAGAATAATCGAATTCTAGCAAAAGTATTTATTTCTTTAGCAAAAAAATTAAATTATTTATTATAATCTTTTTTGTTTTATTTATTTAGTTACCTGTTATCTGCCTAGTTAATAGACTCCTTCCCAGAAGGTATTTGTGATAACATTGTGGAGTGAATTAATTATAAATTTTTTTGGAAATGATTAGATAACAACCATTCTGGAAAATTCACATGATTCACTGAAAATTATAATTTTTTTTACGGTTTGGACATGCAGTATTTTTATTTTTGGTGTATATATATATATATCGAATTTTGTTTAATTTTTAATGCAAAAAAATACTTTTAAAATAATTTTATTGAAAATAAATAAAACGAAACAACCTGTATACTGAAATAAAAGCAAAGGGCAACCATTTTACTCCACTTTTGTAAAAAATTATTTTATCAAGGCTGCCATAAAACTGTCAAATGTCAATTTCAAGGTTAATTTGTGGGTTGTGGTAAATTGACGTTAAAATTAACATTTTACAGTTTGATGGTTGTTTTAATAGTACAAACATAACAAAATTTTAAAAATATTAAAAGCACAAATAATTTTTCCAAAAAAATTTAATGGAACAAAATAAAAATAATAAATAATACGTGACAAAAATTAATTACCAGGTCTAGGTCACCTAAAAATAGGTAATTTAAAAAGTTGATAATCAATGATATTTTGTAGGGTAAAGTAGACAGTTATCGGACACTTTATATTGGACAATTAACATTAATACTGTAAAAACAAGAGTTCTATAAATAGTTACCTTAAAGTCAAATCATTAGATGGCGCTGTATACAATTAAAAGATTTTTGTTTTTTTGTTAAGAGCAGGGCTGTGTTTAAATTACAATAAAAAATATTTCTAAAAACTGTACAGATCAGTGTGTGGTATAAATGTGTTCCTCATGGTTTAAACATTGTCACTGTAATGCCGCATTACTAATGCGTTTTAATTTTAATCCTGAAAACAAACAGTAAAATGGCCAGTGTCCAATTACTGGTTGGTAAAAAATGTAAATTTCTATTATTGGACATATGTCCAATATCATACTCTATTTGTGTCCCGGACATTTACCAGCCAATTCTTATGTAAAATTGTCCCCTGAATCCGAAAAGACCGTCAAAAACTATAAAAGTTAAGCAGTTTTGGAGATATAGTCAATTCCATATTATATGTAAAATTGATTATATTTCAAAAACCGTTCTACTTTTATAACTTTTGACGACATTTTCGGATTCAGCGAATAATATTTAATAGGAATTGACTGCTAAATGTCCTGCTGTTGACGAGAATTATTAGTGGCTGCTTTTTTGCTATGACATTTTTGACTAATTCATTTTTAGAGAGTAAGTAATACAGTGATTTCTTCGTCAAAGGATAACTTGCAGAATAACAGTGATATAAATACAGTGCATGATAGAGAACATAAAAAACAAATGGCAACATTGGTGAATTCGGGAAATACTTTTAACATACCACCCGAAAAAATATTAGATATATATAAATAATCCTGTGTTGTAGTATAGGTTTTAACAATTTCAAATAAATAAATATGTGGGTAAAATTGGCAACGCCAGTTAGGGTTGCCAACACAAGAAAGTGGTAACACGGACCGGGAGAAGAGGAAGCGGGGAAGAAGGCGTAGGAGTCGGAAGCGTCGTGGTTAATTTCAATTGAGATTTATGGTAGCCGCATGGATGTTTTTGTGAGTGAACCTTTTGAAATAACGGTGAGTTGTTTTATTTACCTTAATTACCAATCAACGAAACTTGAGCTTTGCCCCTGAGATGCGTTTATTTAAGAACAAACAAAGCTTAACGTTTCATGGCGCCCAACGAAAAATTCAATAAAAATACCGTTTTAGTTTAATTTCGTCCATTGGAAAACCAACGTTTCATGCCATTAGCAATAATAAAAATCTGCAACTAAAGTCAATTAATAATTACAGTACGATTCATAACATTTTTAAATCATAGATTAAAGGTAAAATACTCTTAAAAACGTGGGCGTTCCCATCAGCTGTGAACACAGAACCGGAGTAAGGCAATATTAGTTAAATACGGATAAATTCATTTAATGTTTGTACCTGCAATAGAATAATAACTTGCGTGTTTTACGGTTGTTGTTATACAGTTGTGTAACCTTGTTGTTTATAATAAAAAAAATTTTTTTAAATTATGGATCAAAGTGCAGAAAATTGCTTTGGTGATTATGAAATTCTTAGTCAGATTGGAGAATGTTCTTCAACAAATCCGTTTTTGCCACAAAATTTTTCAAACCCATTTTTATCAGTCAACATGGATGCAGTGCAGCCTAGTTTACCATTTAATCAAAATCAGTTACAATCAAATGTTACCAATTATGTATCTTTTCCTATAAATAATCCACACACTCAAGCCTTTGAATCCAATCCTAGAGTTGATCCTTCCTTTAACATGGCAAAAGAATTTTTATCGGCTGTTAAAATTATTGCCCGAAGCATAACTGGAAAAGAAAAGCCCATAATCACGTTCAACGGCTCAGATACAGAAAATCCAACCCAGTTTTTGAACAAAATGGAAGAATTTTTTGAAAAACATGCCACCGATGAAACAAACAAAGTAGAATTATGTGGAAATGCCTTGAAGAATATTGCAGCAAATTGGTACCAGCCATATAAGCAGCTGACACTTACATGGCCAATGTTTAGAAGTCGGTTTTTGGACAAATTTAATAATCCAGCCCTAATTTCTCAATTGATAACAAAACTCTATGGGCATCAACAACAGTCAAATGAAAGTGTAGAAATTTTCGTTACAAAAAAAAGGGGCCTTTTTAATAGACTAATGCCAGGCACCCACGAGAATGTTCTTATGAATCTATTATGTGAACAGATGAATAGTGAAATTCGTTCAAGAATGAGGGGTCATACCTTTTTGAATTTGGAAGAAATGATTAACGTAGCAATAACAATTGAAACCGATATACAACAATCAACCACAAAATCAATAAATAGCCAAAATTATAATGTACAGTCATTGCAAAGTATTCAAAATACTCAACAAAACACCAATCCACAGTCAGTGCGAAATCAATCAAAATTCCAAAGAGACAACACACAGTCAGTGCCAAATCAACCAAATTTCCAAAGAGACAACACACAGTCAGTGCCAAAGCAGTCAAATTTCCAAAGAGACAACACACAGTTAGTGCCAAATCAGACAAATATACAACATAAGAACATACAACAACAACAAGATCCACCAAGACCACCACATCCTTGTCGCTATTGCCAAGAGTGGCATTATCATAATCAGTGTCCAGTAAATCCATACCAAGGCCAAGACAGAAGACAGTCATACCAAAGAAACCATGATCAGCACACCAACCAGCATTATCATCAGCAGTCGGGAAACCTGCAAGAGGACGGTCGTTCAGCTGCAGTAGGCAACCGATCCTAAATAATTTAAATCCAACACCAATCACTGCAGAAACAAGCCATAACCTTCCAAAAATTTCCATAACCCTTAACAATACACCCATTCAAGCTTTAGTGGACACAGGTGCAAGTGTCAACTTAATAAAAGCCAAATTTTTTCCTAATCTTCCACCATTACGTAAACAAACTATTAATTTCGGTTGTGGTCCAGTATTCATGTCAACTCATGGTTTTTTAAAAATAACGTACCAAATTCTTGATTGCACTTTGACTTCTACATTTTTACTTGTTCCTGAACTTCTTGAAGATTGTATTCTGGGGTTTTCTTGGTTTGATGAGCATAAGGTGGTTTTAAATATGGGTAGGCATTGCATTCATTTCGGTTTAGAGCAACGGCGAACAGTTTATTTTAAAAGCGAAAATAGGAAAATTAACCAAAAACCAAAACAATTTTCTTTAAACCATCTGGATTCAACAATAAAAAATCAATATTCAAAAATTTTAGAAGAATTTTCAGATATTTTCAGTGACGAATTAAAGCAACCTGTAACACATACAGTAAAACACGATATCAAACTAACTTCAGATACAATTGTACAAACCAAATCATATCCAATATCCGAAAGAAAGAAAATAATTTTAGACAATCAGATTTCTGACATGCTTGCAGCCGGAGTAATAGAACCTTCTAGTTCTCCATATTCGTCTTCGCCTTTATTGATTGAATCAAATAATAAAAAACCAAGGTTTTGTATCGATTTCCGGAAATTAAATCAAGTTACCGAATCAGAGTTTGTGCAATTACCAAAAATTCATGATACTCTTAAATGCTTAGGTTCAGCCAAAATATTTTCATCTCTAGATTTAAAATCGGGTTACTGGCAAATAGAGTTAACCGAAAGATCAAAACCTTTAACAGCGTTTTCTACCGAAAGTGGCGCACATTTTCAGTTCACTGTAATGGCATTTGGTCTTAAAAACGCGCCGAGCACCTTTCAAAAATTTATGTGTCAGGAAGTTTTAACGGGATTCATAAATAAATTTGTATTAGTATATCTAGATGATATTATCATATATAGCAATAACCACAATGAACATCAAAACCATTTAAGATTAATTTTAGAGAGATTGTCGTCTCATCAATTGCATTGTTCTCTTGAAAAATGTAACTTTGCGACCGACAAGCTAAACTATTTGGGACACACGATTAACGGTGATGTTAATATTCCGCAAACTCAACATATATCACAAATTTTAAATTGTACTATACCGCGAAATAAAAAAGAACTTCAATCATTTTTGGGGGTAATAAACTGGTTAAGGGAATACATCCCAAAAATGGCTGAAAAAACTTTACCTCTTACAGAGTTACTTAATACAAAAAACAAATGGCGGTGGAGTTATGTAGAACAAAACGCTTTCGATGAAATTAAACACTTAGTATCTCAACCTTTAAAATTGCACAGACCAGACCCACAAAGAATTTTCATACTTCAAACTGACGCAAGTTCGGTAGGCGTGGCGGCAGTACTTTTTCAAGAAGACGAATTTAATAACAAACGAATTATTTCACACGCGAGCGCGAAGCTAACAAAAGCTGAAAAGAAATATCATATAAATGAAACCGAATGCTTAGCGCTTGTTTGGGCAATAAAACGGTACAGACATTTTTTGGAAGATAAAAAGTTTAAAGTAATAGTTGATAATAAAGCACTTATCTGGTTAAATAAATTCTCAGACTCAAAGGCCAAGCTAACACGCTGGAGTTTACTTTTGCAGGAGTTTGATTTCGAAATTTCTCATTGTCCAGGAAAGTTTAACGAACTTCCTGATTTCCTTTCTCGCAATCCAAGAGATTCTCCAATTCCTGCGGAGGTAGACAATCTAGATAAAATGATTCCCATAGATCAAAATGATATTGAAGTAGATAACAGTGACGTTCGCATAAATTGTGTAAATACTCGAAATACAATTTTTGATAATGCAATATCTAAACAACTAAATGATAACCTAATTCAAAAAGACATATCCTTGTGGAAAAAAATCGAACAAAATGGACCAAATTCAGAAGTTGAACAAAATTTTTTAAATGATCATTTAGTAATAAACGATATTCTGTACAGAAAAAAGTTTAAACAAATTGTAATACCCAATAACCTTGTAAAAACTGTGTTATTTGAGTTTCACGACTCAGAATTTGCAGCTCACCCAGGCCGTGACGAGACGTTAAGGCAAATATCAAATCAATTTTATTGGCAAAAAATGTCGAGTGACGTAACAAAATATGTAAAAAATTGCTTAATCTGTTCGACCTTTAAAAATCGTTTACATCAACTACCTGCACCATTAAGTGCGGTTAGTGCTAATAATCCCTTTGATACCATAAGCATAGATGTAATGGGACCATACCCAACCACAACTAGTGGCAATAAATTCATAATCGTCATCGAAGATATTTTTACAAGGTGGGTAGAAGCTAGACCAACACGAACGTCACTGGCATCGCAAATCATAAAAATGCTTGAAACAAAAATTTTTCCCAATTACGGATATCCTGCTCTCGTAATTTCGGACAACGGGCCGCAGTTTGTTTCCAATACTTGGTTAGAGTTTTGTCGTGAGAATTTCATAACGCCTAGAACAACAGCCATTTACCATCAAAGGGCAAATCCTGTCGAAAGAAGAAACCAGGAGATAAAAAAAGTTTTGAAAATTCTCATGGCAGACGGAGACCAACAGTGGGACAAACTCGTGCCCCGCGTCCTTTTTATTTTAAGGAATCGCCGGAATGCAGCAACTGGTATGAGTCCAGCAGAGGCGCTTTACGGTTATCAGCTTCCAACACCAGGCAGACGGGGTGACAAGAAAATCCAATTCACAGAAGGAAAAATAGATGAAGGAGATGGAAGAATAAAGAAAATAAGAAAAAACCAGACCGAATATCAACAAAAATATAAAAGAAATGTACCATTTAAAACTCTAAACGTAGGAGACAGAGTATTAATAAGATCCAGAGACACTAACGTTTTTGCAAGAAAATGGCAAGGACCTTATGAAGTTAAAGAAAAAGTAACAGACACCATTTACATCATAAATAAAGAAAATCATGATGTAAAACTACATATAGATGATATAAGAATAATACCACCACAACAAAGTCTAAGTTCAAACAACGCAGAAGAAAGTCACAATGGAGAAAACCAGTTAGAAGTAAACGCTGATCATGTGGATTCATGTTCAGAGGAAGAATTGGAAGATTCAGGTTCAGAGAAAGAGGAAGAATTGGAAGATTCAGGTTCAGAGAAGGAGGAAGAATTGGAAGGTTCGGGTTCAGAGAAGGAAGAAGAATTGGATGATTCATTTTCTGAGGATGAAAAAATTAATGATTCTGATGAAGAAGACGAAGAGCATACAAACACGCAAACACAAATCACACAGAGACCTCAACGAAAAAAGACACATAAACATAAGTGTTCATTTTGTTAGCTGGAAGCTGTCAAAGAGAGGGCATTGATAAGCTGTAATGGATGTTACAGATTACAACAAATACAACACATCAAAGACAACCAAAAACAACAATACTGGATAGTATTGTACCCGATAATGTCAACAAGTTTACCTAAATGTGATATTACCAAAGTGATAATAAGTAGGAAAAGACTAAAATAATTACAAAAAAACACTGGTTATGCTTGTCAATATGTATTTTTCTTAAAGACTGAAAGTTTTCAACATAATGTTTCTTTTATAATATATTATGTTTATTTTGTTAAATAAATACACTCACAAAAAATCTTGCGAACACCAATCTCAAGGGGGGAGGTGTTGTAGTATAGGTTTTAACAATTTCAAATAAATAAATATGTGGGTAAAATTGGCAACGCCAGTTAGGGTTGCCAACACAAGAAAGTGGTAACACGGACCGGGAGAAGAGGAAGCGGGGAAGAAGGCGTAGGAGTCGGAAGCGTCGTGGTTAATTTCAATTGAGATTTATGGTAGCCGCATGGATGTTTTTGTGAGTGAACCTTTTGAAATAACGGTGAGTTGTTTTATTTACCTTAATTACCAATCAACGAAACTTGAGCTTTGCCCCTGAGATGCGTTTATTTAAGAACAAACAAAGCTTAACGTTTCACCTGTTCCGGCCTAAACATTATAAATGCTTCACAAACTATATACCACACTTAATGATATTTGCAACAAACAATTTCAGAAGTCAGACCAAGGAATTAGTAGTTACCTTTAGAATCCAGAAAAGGGATGAGGAATCCGATAAAAATATATGAATTACATGATATTTACAAAAACGAAATAAAAAAATACCTAAAACAGCAATTTGACTTTAACAATTTATTTGATGTTAAGTTGTTATGGTCCATGTGTCTAATTACTATACATTTTTGCATGTTTTTATAAAACTATTATTCTAAATAAAACAAAAAATCTTGAAAATCATTTAATTTTTATCAAGCGATTGGTAGTCTCTGCTCCTTGGCCCACCTCCTGATAACCCTGGCAATGTTCTCGGCTTGCGCGGTGGAACTGCCCCTTAATAGCTGCAGGATGTCCCCTAACCCCTCAACGGAGAACTTGTTGGCGATCACCATCTGAAAGACCCCCACTACGGCCCCCCTTTTCCCCTCCCAGAACTCCGGGTTGGGCTCCAACCTGTCCAGCATGTCGAAGGCTTTAGCCGCATACCAGAACTCACCAATTTTGTAGCAATCGTTAGCTATTAGAAGCAGGAGATTGAAACTGTCAGGGCTGCTCTCCATCTTAATGTACAGTTCCCAGGCCAGCTGGGCTTTGCGGTTCATGACGTAACAGCGGGCCAAATTAGAGATGTAAACGTAATCCTGCTTCATTTTATGGTTTTTGATCAAGAGAAATATTTCTTCCGCCTCTTTGTACTGATGGCAGGCCGTTTTGGCCTGCGCAAAGTTGAAATTAAAAGTGTCATCTGAAATTTTTCAAATAAATACTCAGCTGGTTTTTATTGACAAGCACCAACCTGCGTGGAGGTAGCTCTTGATAGACGTTAAGTAAACCAAAACTTCTTCAAATTGTCCCGAGAGAAAAAAAGTTGCCGCCATACTCTGCCTGCCGTGAATTGTATCGCACTCGCTTGAAGAGCTACCAACCAAATTGAAGCACTCCTCGGCAGTTTTGATATGGACATGCTAAAACATGCCATCAACATTTAAATTTCAAGAACAAACAGTTTTTCTTGCATTTTACGGCAAAACGGTTAGAGATACAGCTAAAAAGTATAAAAAAAATTTATAGGGAATTTAATTTCCTATAAAAAAGATTATATGCATTAATCCCATAAAATGCATAGTTTACGAGATATACATTGTTCTGTCAAATATCGATAAAACTATTTTATCAGTAGTAGAATTTATTAAATGCTCTATATCTTTTAAACAATGCATTTTTTTGCATTTATGCATAGGACTTTTATTGTAGGAAATTGATTTTTTAATAAACCTTTTATTCACTTTTTACCCGTATCTTTAACCTTTTTGCCGTAAAACAACATAGGACTTATTATATTGTCGATATTTGACAGTACAATGTATTAAATTCTCTATATCTTTTAAACTATGCATTTTTCTGCATTAATGCATAGGACTTTTATTGTAGGAAATTGATTTTTTAATAAAACTTTTATTCACTTTTTACCCGTATCTTTAACTGTTTTGCCGTAAAACAACATAGGACTTATTACCCACACAGAACACGCTATCCAATGGATATCCAATGGCTATCCCAATGTCCATATAACATCCATGCCTTTTACGATATCCATTGGATATCCAATGGATATCCATACTGGATGTTCAAAAAAAAACAAAAACATTAAAAATATTTTTTTCTTTTTTAAAATAGCCCCTTATAGGATAAATTTATGTAATGATTAATAAATATGATTTAAATCGTTATTAACCCAATTTCAACAAAGTATCTCTAATATATATCCAATGGATAACTAATGTATGTCCAAAGTATATCCACTGTACATCTAATGTATATCCACTGGATATCCACTGGATATCCGATGGATATCCATACTGGATGTTCAAAAAAAAACAAAAACATTAAAAATATTTTTTTCTTTTTTAAAATAGCCCCTTATAGGATAAATTTATGTAATGATTAATAAATATGATTTAAATCGTTATTAACCCAATTTTAACAAAGTATCTCTAATATATATCCAATGGATAACTAATGTATGTCCAAAGTATATCCACTGTACATCTAATGTATATCCACTGGATATCCACTGGATATCCAATGGATATCCATACTGGATGTTCAAAAAAAAAAAAAAACATTAAAAATATTTTTTTCTTTTTTAAAATAGCCCCTTATAGGATAAATTTATGTAATGATTAATAAATATGATTTAAATCGTTATTAACCCAATTTCAACAAAGTATCTCTAATATATATCCAATGGATAACTAATGTATGTCCAAAGTATATCCACTGTACATCTAATGTATATCCACTGGATATCCGATGGATATCCATACTGGATGTTCAAATAAAAACAAAAACATTAAAAATATTTTTTTCTTTTTTAAAATAGCCCCTTATAGGATAAATTTATGTAATGATTAATAAATATGATTTAAATCGTTATTAACCCAATTTCAACAAAGTATCTCTAATATATATCCAATGGATAACTAATGTATGTCCAAAGTATATCCACTGTACATCTAATGTATATCCAATGGATATCCACTGGATATCCGGTGGATAACTGATATGGATATCTTGTATATATACTTGTATGTATACATGTGGGATTTTGTGATGGTTTAAACTAGCATATGTAAAAAAACGACTTTACGTTAAATTGATTTTTTGCCAAGAGCTACGAAATTTTTAATGTTGAAATGTTCACTTTACCCAGATAATAATATTTATATATTAATAATATTATTTCTGTTAATAATATGACTATGACAGTCTGCAATACAATAAAAAATTACTTAAAAAAGTCCTTTTTGTTTATTATTGTATTTCATATATGTACTACGCACGCGCTGAATTTGAGAATCTTCAGTGTTGCCGGTTATAAGCAAAATAACTAAACGAAATATATTTCCGTACTTTATTAAGTTTTAATAAATAAATTTAAAATAATTATTCACCACATTTATGTCAAATAGGTATACTAGGTATACTAATTAATTAAGTATTAAAGATTTAATAATATAACCGCCATTTTGATGAGCTTTCTGAAATTATTTAAACGTCTGACAACACTGCCGGCGAACACAGAAGATAAATGTCACCATATTACCTTGCCGCTGCATCTCGCCGCTGTCCAGGTCGCCCAACTAGTATATAGGTGGGCGGTTGCTTGGCTTGAAGCGTGTCTCTCGGCACCAACTGCCTGACACTGATGAGACCCAACAGGTCGAAACAGTCTGTCTGTCAGTGTTGGTGGGCATGGTACATTAGTCATTGTGCCATGTTAAACAAATGGGCTGATGGATTGGCCAAATTTTGGGGATCATAAGGAGACAGGTGAAATAGGCCCTAAATGATTAGGCTGATAAAAAGGCAAATGACAGCTGGAGGAGTGATGGCAAGCACTTCTTTAGTTTATATGTAGTTTTCTGTTCTATTTTATGTTTTCATAAAAATTAATATTTAAATTAAAGAATAAGACTTTTATTTTAAAACCCAATGTTATTTATTGAAAAGTAAATATCCATTGATTCACCATATCCAATACAGATGACAACCATATTGCATACAATACTATATCCACTGGGTATCCATTGGATATCCACACTATGTCCAGGAGGGTCGGACATTTATATATCCAATGGTTATCCATTGGATATCCATACAATCTCCATATTAAATACAGATTACAACCATATTGCATACAATACTATATCCACTGGGTATCCATTGGATATCCACACTATGTCCAGGAGGGTCGGACATTTATATATCCAATGGTTATCCATTGGATATCCCGGATATCCTATGTATATCCTGGATATCCATAAAAGAAATCCATTGGATATCCATTGGATGTAATTGTTCCGTGTGGGTATATTGTCGATATTTGACAGTACAATGTATTAAATTTTCTATATCTTTTAAACTATGCATTTTATTGCATTAATGCATACAACCTATTTTATAGAAAATTAAATTTTTAATAAAACTGTTATTTACGTTTTTTCTGTATCTTTAACCGTTTTTCCGTAAAACAACATAGGACCAATTAAATTGTCGATATTTGACAGTATTAAATGCTCTATATCTTTTCAACTATGCATTTTTTTGGATTAATGCATAGGACTTTTTTGTAGGAAATTGAGTTTTTAATAAAACTTTTCTTTACATTTTACCTGTATCTTTAACCGTTTTGCCTCAAAAAAACATAGGACTTATTATATTGTCGATATTTGACAGTACAATGTATTAAATTCTCTATATCTTTTAAACTATGCATTTTTCTGCATTAATGCATAGGACTTTTATTGTAGGAAATTGATTTTTTAATAAAACTTTTTTTTACTTTTTACCCGTATCTTTAGCCGTTTTGCCGTAAAACAACATAGGACTTATTAAATTGTCGATATTTGACAGTACAATATATTAAATTCTCTATATCTTTTAAACTATGCATTTTATTGCATTAATGCATACAACCTTTTTTTATAGAAAATTATAAAATTTTTATTTACGTTTTTTTCTGTATCTTTAACCGTTTTGCCGTAAAACAACGTAGGACCAATTATATTGTCGATATTTGACAGTCCAATGTATTAAATGCTCTATATATAGAGCATTTAATACATTGGACTGTCAAATATCGACAATATAATTGATATATCTTTTAAACTATGCATTTTTCTGCATTGATGCATAGAATCTTTTTTATAGGAAATTAAATTTCCTATAAAATTATTTAATACTTTTTACCTGTTACTATAATCGTTTTGTCGTAAAATTGACAAACAATAGGAAATTAAAAAAATGTTCCTTCAAAACGAATAATCCTAATGTATACAAAGAGAAAACTATTGGAGGTAAAAGTTACTTACTGAATTGATATCTTGTCCTAACGCCGCATTTACCACACCTTTAAGAATATATTCTTGAGGTACAGACGGTTGTAAATCCTTCAACAAGTCATATGCCTCTTTGGTGTCATTATTACGTAAATAGTGGATTACCAAGTTCAATCTAGCTTCAGGTACTACGTCCACTAATCCTGGGAAAACCTGTGAAATTAATAAAATAATTTTTTTATTGTTGTATTTTTCGACGTATATTACCTGCATTGCGCCCTCGCCATCTCTAAACACGACCAAATTGTGTTTTATTAAGTCATAACCAAACCCTTCGTTAGCACATTGATCCACAATACTTCTAATCTCATTTTCAGCCGTCGGACCATTATATAATCTAAAGGAGTTACACGCCTGAAATAAAACGCTTAATATCGTCACTAACACCCTGTATATTACCTTCAAATTGGTCGCAATAACGGAATCAGAATATTGACTCAAATACAACCCCAAAACCTCCTGAGATACATCGTAGTAGTCCAATTTGTAGTAACACAAAGCTACATACACATTCAAAGCCAAATTATCCCTAAAATAAAAAACGAGAACACCTCGTCATCTCTGCACCTTGACGTCAAGGTGCCTAGACGACGAGGTCGACTAGTGACGTACCGATTCTGCAGCAGCAAGCGCTTGTAGATGTCTATGGCTTCTTGATAGTGCGCTCTCAGATAATGGATGGCTGCCAGGCTAAGTTGATCTTCAGCGACGTCCTGTAATTGCTGATGGCTCTCCATTAAGGCGCTTTCGTCGCGTAATTTATGCGAAAGGTGGAAATTCAGCCTCACTTTCAGCCCACTTGTCGGCGAGTCTTGCAGAGTTTCTTTTGATTCTTCATACATACCTTAATTTTATAAAAAAATGTATCAGTCCTATAGTGTGCGATATTTCCTAAACGGTTTATTTTACGCAAAAAATTTATAGAATATTTTTTACAGAGAATTAAAAGATCTACAATTTTTATATACGTCATTTTTATCTCCGACATATACAAAGCGAGTTATAAGCAAAAATACATCAACCTAGCTATAATACATAATATATTGTACAAACCTAAATAAAAGTAACAACAGGCTATATTAACCGCCAAATTTGCCAAATCGGGATTATTCTTGTATAAATTCTGATAAATAGACAAAGATTTCTTATAATCCCCCTTGTGGAAGGCACAATAAGCCATCCAGAGATAAAACAACCCATTTTGATCAGGTGCTTCTTTAAACTAAAAAACAAAATTATTCAAACCTATTACACAATTAAAAACACTTTATTATACTTCCAGAAGTGTTATAGCACCTGCATAATCTCTTTTACTTAAATATTCCTCAAATTGAGATGTATTTTTGTTTGGCAAATTTCCTCCTCTTTTACCCTTCGCAGAATCACTGTTAGAGCCTAAAGCTGGTTTAGACCTGCTCAAAATCTAAAAAAAAACATTAATTATAAATAATGCGAAGCTAAAATAGCATATCATACCATTTTAAAAGCTTTTTTCAAGAATTGCAACAATAACGTTTGTTGACATTCAAGTACACTGGGTTGCCGGGCAACATTTAATAAAATTACTAAATTACAGATTTACAACATTTTAGCAATATTATTAACTAATTAATAATATATTAACGAAAAATTAATCAATAATTATTGAATAAAAACCCAAATAACCCAAAGTAAACCAAAAGTAGTTCAAATAATGGTACATTTAAACTATTTTTGACGTTTCACATAGTGAGGTTAGGTTTACGAAACCGCCGTATTGTTTTTACGTAATTTTAAGCTTTAAAAATGTTGGAGAGTGTAAAACACGTAATTCTGGTGCTTTCAGGTAAAGGTGGGGTAGGTAAGTCGACTGTAAGCACCCAGTTAGCGCTGACATTCAAAGAACAAGGTTATAAGGTGAGCACAATGGGGTAGTTAAATTTTTTCTGACCTATACTTTTTATGGTTTTATTCAAGGCGTTTTGTAATTTTAAACATTTCTGTGAAATCGGAATTTCAATTGAGTTTACCGTTTTCAAAATATTTACAAAACAAAATCTCCTAATTACGTCACAGGCTATTGACAACGTTGCCAGCTTTTTCTATGGTTGCCAGTGTGTTTAGTTTACGATAGATGGCGCCACGTTATAATATTTTAGTTGAGAAGAAGAATTGATTTTTTGACGTTTCTTTTTTTCGGGTTGTTTTTTTTTTAAATTTAGATTATTGAAAATCAATGTTATTGTTATGTTATTTGTAATTGATATTAGATAAGTGATTTATTAATAACGGACTCCAAAGCAGAGAAATCTTGTGGAATGGTTGGTTACATTGAACATTGGAGCTTTTAAACAAAAAAAGTAAGTACCTATAATTATAATCATATTTTGTCGTAAATGCATTTCATTGGTATAATGCCTAGTTCTTTATATTCTTTTAGATATATTATTATTTTTTGTAAATTTATTTCATTCATTTTCACCTTTATTTTGCCACTTTTTTCTATGAAATAAATTAAACTCTGCTTTAGACAGTTATTAGGTACCTATTTATTACATTTTATTAGGTTTCACACGGTGTTTCAATGTGTAAACCTATCAATAAAACTTTTAATTTCAGAATTTTATTTAATCTTCTCTTCTTCTTCTTTCACTTAACTGACAGTGACAGTATTTGTACATAACCTCTTCGGGTATTTTCTGACATAACCGAATGAAATCATTAACAAGACAACTTGACAACAGGGTAATTTTCAACCAATAGAAATCTTAGAATGTTGGTCACATGATGGGGTTTGTGACGTCATAAAAATTTATATTTTTTGTAAATATCTCGAAAACGGTAAACTCAATTGAAATTCTGATTTCACAGAAATGTTTAATATTACAAAACGCCTTGAATAAAACCATAAAAAGTATAGGTCAGAAAAAATTTAACTACCCCATTCAATACTAAAATTTTTGTTTATAATTATAGTTTTTTAGGTGGGTTTGTTGGATATTGATTTGTGTGGACCGAGTATACCATATTTGTTGCAATTGAAAGATAAGGATGTACACCAATCAGACAAAGGGTGAATTTTTTAAACAATTTGGATTTTGGTTGTAATTTTAATTTTCAGATGGGTTCCTGTGTTTGCCGATAAAGAACAAAGATTGGCAGTTATGTCTATAGGGTTTTTACTGGGGAATCGTGATAAAGCAGTGGTGTGGAGGGGTCCAAAGAAAACGGCTATGGTAAAACAATTTTTGTCTGATGTTTGCTGGGGGGAGCTCGATTATTTAATAATTGATACACCACCAGGTTAATATTAATAAAATAGATAGAGTGTATGTTGTCAAAGCGTGTTTTTTTGTTACAGGTACTTCTGATGAACATATAACAGTAATGGAAAATTTAAAGAATGTTAAATTTGATGGGGCTATAATTGTCACCACACCTCAAGAAGTTTCTATTGAGGATGTAAGAAAGGAGATAACTTTTTGTAAAAAGACTGGAATACCCATTATAGGCCTTATAGAGAATATGAGCGGGTGAGAAAATACGATTCTAATGCCTAAGATAGGCAACAACTGCACAACGCTATCTTGGTTGCCTATAGTGAGATTCTTTAACAACATTTTTTTATAGGTTTGTTTGCCCCCATTGTACAGAATGTACTAACATTTTCAGCAAAGGTGGGGGCGAAGCCCTAGCCACAATAGCAGAAATAGATGTTCTAGGATCTTTACCTATAGATCCTAGAGTAGGTCAACTTTTGGGGAAGTCTTGTGTGAAGGAGTTGCCTGAGTCTCCTTCAGCAAAAGCATTCGAAAAAATCGTTGAAAGGATTGTCAAACATTAATATTAAGATTAGTTGTTTTGAATATAAATAAATAAATATTTTTGTTTATTATTCTTTTACTAAGAATGTTCCTAATAAAAGAAAAAGCTTGTTTTTTACTATAGAATATACAGTTCATTTTTTTTTATCTGGACTCGTGTTTTTTTTGTTAGGTTGGTGCCTTATGCCAGTTTGACTTGGTATTTTTAGTATTTAAAAATGGTACTTCTGCTAAAGAATTTAATTAAATAATTTGACACTGTCAAATTGACAATAATATTTTTTATTGATAACTTACTTGTCAATTATAAATAAAAAGATAATTATGCTAAAAATAATAGCAACGAATTCGAATGTAAAAGCCCTTTTGAAGGTAAAACTTAATTTTGATGAAATTATGCCAAATGCCACAATGGAAGAAAAAGTACATCGCCTTATGGACAATTTTGGGGTAAAAAAGTAACGAATTTGGTTTTATAAATATTACTTCACACATTATTTTCACATTATTCACCATTGGACAACATTTACGTTCACAACAAATTTTAATTTCATTTATATAAATTTAAAAGGTAAAATTTAACTGAATATCCCTAAAATATATTTGTTACTTCTAATAAAATTAATTAAATTATTATTGTAACATGATTATTATATTTTACGTGTTGATAAAATTTGGACTTTTAACTATAGGTTCACTTACTTAAAAACATCAAGTTTTATTTTTATCATTAGATTTTGACGCCTTAAATGTTTGAAGTGGAATTTAAGGCTAAAAACGTGTTCATATTAATTAAAAGTTTCCAATAATTTAGAATGTTGTTAATTTTATTGATACTTTCAACTAAATACATATGCTTGATTTATTAATTTATGTTTGAAATAGTTGGTTTAAAAAAATATTTAAAAAAATCTTACAAAAATAAAAAATATTTACATAAATAAAAACATTAAAAAAAAACATCCAAATCAAAAAATAAAAATTAAATAAAAAATAATTTTTAGATTGAAAAAACAACATGTTTGCGATTGTAAACAGCGCAAAATATAAAAGAAAAAGGCTACTATAATAATATTTAAAATTGGTAAAAAGTGAGGTTAAGCATCTGACAAAAAATTATTTTTGAAAATTATTTGATTATCTAGATTGGAATATAAAGTATATTATGCGCATTATCTGAAGTGAGGTTAAGCATCTGACAAAAAATTATTTTTGAAAATTATTTGATTATCTAGATATTGGAATATAAAGTATATTGTGCGCATTATCTGAAGTATAATAATACAGGTACTATTATATTTTGGAAATTTGTTTAAAAAAATACCTATTTACAAAAATAAAAACATTTAAAAAATCCAAATTTATTTATTTATTTGTGTTAAATTAAATCAAATTCAACTCGAAAAAATGGGGGCGATACCCCACGACTAGGAATTTAAAGTGTCCAAAAAACAGAAAAATTGGGAAAAAAACTGTTTTTTCCTTTTTTTCTCAGGCCTTGGAAAAATTGTTTGGAAATAATTTATTTTTATTTTTAAAAATATACACATTTGAAAAAAAAAGTAGCAATGAACTTTTTTAACATTATTTTAATTAAAAAAAAATATCCTTTATTACAAAAATAAAACTAATCATTAAACTGATTCAAGAAAATAAACGTAAACGTTAAAGGGTTGGGTCTTTTTTGCAAAAAGAGTCAGACTACAAAATAATGAATGATTTATAAAGTTAAATTACAAAATTTTAATTTTATAAATCGAATTGTCAAAATAATTATTATAATCAGCGTCGGAAATTCACTTTTTTCTCCATCAGTATTATCCGTAAAAATTTAAAAATTTTCAGAAAAACTTTTCGAATTTTACTTTGAATAAAATTTAAATTTTTTCGGAAATTTTAAAACCTTACCTACCTGTTTGTCTAAATTTAACTAATTTAATATTTGGGAAATTTGTTTTTGTGGATATTTGGAATGAAAGAGTTTTGTTATATATTTAAAAATGTTTTTATTACAAAAGGTGAAATAAATTAAAAGTACAAATAAAAGTTTTACATTTTTTTATTTTCAAAGTATTAGCCTAAAAGTAATATAATAATAATAATTAAGAGTCTTATTTTTGCAAGATGTAATAAATACAAAGAATACTTTGGCCTATTGCGTACATGACGTGACGTGACAAAACGACGAGTTGTCACAGGGCAGTTCTCCAGGACACTCTGGCGGTGGCCTATCGCAGGTAATGTTTAATATATAATACAACAAAGTGGTAAATGCAATGGGATAATGGAATGCTTTTGCGACAATATATATAAGGATATAAATAAAAACAACGAACTTAGAAGCACTTCCTGTGCACGATGGAGGGGCCGGACTCGTCGTACTCCTGCTTGGAGATCCACATCTGCTGGAAGGTGGAGAGGGAAGCCAAGATGGATCCACCAATCCAGACGGAGTACTTCCTCTCGGGGGGCGCGATTATCTTGATCTTCATCGTCGACGGGGCCAACGCGGTGATCTCCTTCTGCATGCGGTCGGCGATCCCCGGGTACATGGTGGTACCACCTGACAAAACGGTGTTGGCGTACAGATCCTTACGGATGTCCACGTCGCACTTCATGATGGAGTTGTAAGTGGTCTCGTGGATGCCGCAAGCCTCCATCCCCAAGAACGAGGGCTGGAAGAGCGCCTCAGGGCAACGGAATCTCTCGTTACCAATGGTGATCACCTGACCGTCGGGGAGCTCGTAGCTCTTCTCCAAAGAAGAAGAAGACGCGGCTGTGGCCATTTCCTGCTCAAAGTCCAACGCGACGTAGCAGAGTTTCTCCTTGATATCGCGGACGATTTCCCTTTCGGCGGTGGTGGTGAAGGAGTAACCTCTCTCGGTCAAAATCTTCATCAAGTAGTCGGTTAAGTCGCGACCGGCCAAATCCAGACGCAGAATAGCGTGCGGTAAAGCGTAACCCTCGTATATCGGCACGGTGTGAGATACACCGTCACCGGAGTCCAATACGATTCCGGTGGTACGACCGGAAGCGTACAAAGAAAGCACGGCTTGAATAGCGACGTACATGGCGGGGGTGTTGAAAGTTTCGAACATGATTTGGGTCATCTTCTCCCTGTTGGCTTTAGGGTTCAATGGGGCTTCCGTGAGCAGCACTGGGTGCTCTTCCGGCGCCACACGCAACTCGTTGTAGAAGGTGTGGTGCCAGATTTTCTCCATGTCGTCCCAGTTCGTCACGATACCGTGCTCGATGGGGTATTTCAAAGTTAGGATACCACGTTTGCTCTGGGCCTCGTCGCCCACGTACGAGTCCTTCTGACCCATGCCCACCATCACGCCCTGATGTCTCGGGCGACCCACGATGGAGGGAAAGACCGCGCGGGGCGCGTCGTCACCGGCGAAACCGGCCTTGCACATACCGGATCCATTGTCCACTACTAATGCGGCTACTTCTTCGTCGCACATTTTGTCGGATTAGTTAGTACTGAAACAAAAAACGCAAGTTAATTTTTTTTTTTATTAAAAATATTATTTTACTCGCTGACACCGAGTTTTAAGACCGTAAGGAAAAATCCAGTCTTGTGGGTGTTTCAGCGAGCGAAAATATCATAACAAAGACTATAATAACCAAACAATAACTTTTCTTAAAAAATCATAAAAGTGCGAAAATTTGTGAAATAACGGTTTAACTCGTACCACCAACTCAAATAAATTTATTCTTGAAAAAATTATTGAAGGAAAATCATTTACGATTTACCAACTCAAATAACGGTACCATTCGCGTTAATAGATCCTCCCAACCCACATAAGATCGAGAATAATTAAAATTCCCCAACGAACCAATAAATCCAACAAACCCGTATAACTGGACCGCGTATGAATGAAGCGGGTTCGAAAAAACGCCGCACAATGAAAATCCGTTACAAAAACCGGATTTTTTTTGCTCGAATGAGATTACGTAAAGGTACAGGCGGCCGCGCCCCACGTCACACAAAAAATCCAATAGGACACAAAGTTAAAACACACGACACGATTTCACAAATTTTCCCAAGATATTTCACAAAAACTGAACTTACTTTGGTTTGGTAGAAAAGTATAAATATATAAATAATTTGTTATTTGTGCTATCGTGCACTGCAATATCACAAGACCGTAATGTCTGATTTCGAAAAGTTCCTCAACATTTATATAATTGTTCGCCCCACCCCAGTTTGTGCGCAAGCCGCAAGCCAATGGCGAGAAACATCGCCATATATGGTGTTCTTCATCGATTTTGCCCCCCTTCCCCCTGCCGACGGCCGCATCCACATTCTGACATACTTTATCTATAAAATTTTCATGATTTTATTTTTACAGCAGAAATTACTTCGATCTCGATTGATAGCAGTATTGTTGGGGCGCCCGAAATAGCCCCACCTCTACGTCACCCATTGATAAAATTTTAAACGCGGCGTGTCGAGCAAATTTATTATTACTTTTGGCTCGAGATCAAACGATTCGAATTCAATGTTGAATTTACTACAAACAACCACTTGCAACGTTAAAAATAACCATCCACAAAACATAACAGGTGCTACGCCCTAACGTGAGCCGGCGTTTCTAAAACCGGCGATAATTCGCGTGAATAAAGCAACCGGCGATTTTACTACACAACAGGGTGAAAATAAGGCCTCAAGAAACAAGATTATAAGGGAAAAATGCGAATTTCTTACCTATTGAACAAGACACGTCACAAAACAACAATGATCAACTAACGAATGGAAGATGCCGGTCGGTATTTCGAAGCGGTGACGCTGTTTTGCCGGGTGAGCAGCACAAAAAATTCAAACTAATATCGCCAACAAATCCAAATCCAATCAATCAGATCGATGACTTTTGCCACTTTGACGTCTACTTTGACGTATTTACCCTCGAAAAAGGCCTATTGTTTGAATTTTTCGCCAAAAACAATTGTTAATATCGCGGGCCGCCCCTGCGCGTCGATGGAATGGACTCGCCCACCCCTACCCGATTCATTCACGTTCGTTACCATATATGGGCATAGAGCGAACTCTCGCCTGCCATTGGCCAGGCCGCGTCGGCCGTCCTAACCTAACTTGAACGCGACGGTTAGGGAAAGAGATTTCGTGCCGGCCGGCAAAAAGGCCCATCTTCAGCAGATCTTGGCCTCGATCCTCGACCTTGAATCCATTATGTCACAACAACCTTCTCTACGCGTTGCACTGCTTTTTATTAGCAACAATAGTTTTGCAGAGCAGGCCTATTCCTACGAAAATCAAGTTGCTTTTGGATTTTTGAAAATTGCAATTTATTTTTTCAAGTTGGTAACTTCGTCATTTGTTTTGGCGTTATTATTATCTCTGTAAGTGTATTTATTACTTTAATTATCATTATCAAGAACAAAACACTTGATTATTACCTTAATAATAATCTTTTAATACCTATAGAAATGGGCTTTAAAACTATAAAATTACTCTTGAGTTTACAATTATTGTAGTGATAACTTATTTTGTGAAACATATTCATTAAATACGAGTTTGTCACCGTACAGTTAGAAATTCCATACGGTTTCCTTTTCTTGCACCATTCACCAGATGTTTTGTCATTTTTTAATCAGCGTTTAATTTGGTTGCATTTTATGTGGACAATGTTTTTTTATTATTATTTTATTATTCTTTCAAAGATACAAATATTCCTTATGATTTTCCCCAGTTTTATAAAAATTGACATTTAAAATGTTCTCAGAAATCTTATAATTTAAAGTCTTATCTCCCAGGGTTTTTCTTATTTTCGTATCATTCAAAACTAAATATTTTGTTAAAATGACTCACAATCGGTAACTATATTAGGTATTTGTTAATAATAACATATGCTGAATCATATTTAAATTTGCTGACTTGTAACATTCGTTAGAATTCAATAACTTTTTTATTAACTGTTTTTTGCGCATTTATTTAATAAATTAAGTCCTTATTAGCCTTAATTGAAGAAACTAAAATAATTTTAATTAATTGTAAAGTTTATGGACCATATTTCCACGAAAAATTACAATAAAACATCTCAATGGTTTTTATACTTTCTATATACAAGGTGTTTCTACTATTCTACTATTCACAATTTTCGTGTAAAACATTTTAATCAAAATACCTATTGAAAGTTTATAAAAAAAGAAAAACCTCTGTTATAATGTCCATTTTAAATAGTTTGAGGATGGAATAAGGCAAATGTTTATCTATATTTTAATATTCTTTCTGGGAAAGGGCGTAAACCGGATATTCAAATCTTAAAAAAACCACTGTTATAAGATAATGTTTCTTTTGGGCACAGTGGGAAAATATTTTTTTTGAACTATGCACTTGTAACAAAATATTTTTTACCAACTACCTACCTATTGAAAATAAAAACTATTCATTTATTGGGTCAATTTTATTAAGAATGTTACGAGTCAGCGTTTTACAAAATGTTTGCTGTCTATCAAAATTATAGTTATTGATACATTTAATATACCTGGGTAATCAAAATGAAAATTGATACATTTACCTATAGCATTTTATTAAAAATTTAGATATACCTAACCCTAGACAAAAACAAGTTGTTTTTGTATAGGGATATCCCATCTCGGGACCTTCCATCTCGGGACCGAGGGAAAATTTACCTGTTTCTGTGCCATCTCGGGACCGAGTCTACAGGTACAAGTTTAAAAGTGCCATCTGAGGACCTAAGTAAAAGGATTACTTCGCGGTCAGTTTTTACATGTAAGCATTGAAGGAATATTGTGTTATTTTGCAAAATTATTAAAAGCGTCTAGGTATTTTATGCTACTGCAAAGAAATTTTTAAATCTATAATATTTTAAGCGTTAGAAAGTTATAGGTACATCTTTTAATCTATTTTATGGATAAACAAACACAAAACATTTAAAAATCACACCTACCAATGGGGCGTGATCGGTAGGGTTGTGTTGTTGAGTTTGGCTCATTTTTGCTGTGTTTAATCAATATCCATTTTTGACAAGTTTTTTTTTAAATTTTTGCTTTTTTTTTAATTTTTATTGAATTTTTGTCCATTTTGTTGATTTTTGCTCATTTTGTTTTTTTTGTTTGTTGTGCTGTTAATATAAAATAAGTGGCCCGTTAATAACAAAAAGCCGTGCAGTCGCCTTAAGTATTTTGTTCAAGACAGGTATAAAAATGTATTACCTTGTATAGGTCCCGAGATGGGACTTTTTAATTTTGGAAACTTTATGCCTTAGGGTCTGGGTCCCGAGATGGGAAAGGTCCTGAGATGGGAGGTCCCGAGATGGGACTAAGCCTATACCTACCTACCAGAATATACAAGATGTCTCGAAAAGTTCAAAGTTATATTGTTTTTTTGACACAACATTTAAGAAAATACATCTGTCGACCATGTAACCCTTAGCTGCCTGAATTGTTTTGAATTTTTTGAACGTGTAATATGTTAGCTTATCAAGCACACATGGTTGCCATGTTTTATAAATTTAAATGTAACATTTTTTGTAATTTTTTATACTTGATTTTTTGTGATTTTCAACATTTTTTTATAATTTTATATTTTTTAAAATTTATGTTATTTTTAAATGCTTGCAAAATGCCTATTTCATATTTTTTTACAATTTTGAAGTATAATTATCATATTGGATATGTCGTAGGTACTTGATTTTATCAAATTATCATACCTGCCCCACAGAATAATAAAATGCCATAATACGACTATATTTTGCGTATAATTTTCACACAAAATGATATTTTTCTTTACTCTGCATTTGTTGACAAAACAGATGACTCACGTGATTTGAGACAAGACAAACAAATGAAAGTAGGGGTGGACTGACCACGTCATTTGGGGGCTGACTCATTTTGGTATGGTTAGGGTAGGACATCGTCCGGATTTCATGTGTTAATTACTTAAAGAAAATTTATTTTCATTGATTTTATCTGCAATATCTGGATTATGTTTTCAAAGTTATGCAATTAAATAGCGATAATAATTTTAATTAATATATCGGCAATACTTGGAAGTGTAAAATTAACAATGTTATCTATAACAATGAATTTAACATTTTTGGAATTATTATAATATACATAATTATCTTCAAGGAAAGTCTTAAATATAATTAATTAAAATGTATTTTAAATTTCTTGAAGTTTTAAATGTTTTTTACAGTAAATTTGATAATAAATATCTCTTTTTATTTAGAGATGACTGTTTCACGTCCATTGAACTTACCGGAACATTTTCTTTACCATTTTAAAAGTAAACAATCCTTGTTTATGTAAAAATACTTTTACCTTTCCAAGATGGATTTTATGGCGAGATGAAATGGATGGAATTAATTATATTAGAAAGCATGGGTACAATCGAAAATTTCTTTTTTGCGATGTAAGTTGCTTGGAATAGATTAAATGGTTGATTAAGTGGTATTTCAGTATTTTTGAACTTTTTAAC